TGTTGTAGCTGGGCTGTTTTCTCCCCGCTTTGGAATACAATGGTTTTATGGCTATTCATAACAGATGTGGCCAGCCAATTACAGACTGGAGATAAGTAATCACCTTGCATGTTCAGGCTTAATCTGATCACCTCTAGGGGTCAAGGAATTATATGGTTAACACAATGATTAAAGTCTGTTTTATGCCACTCTTCATGGACCAAAGTCTAAGACATGCATCACAGCTTCTTCCTTTCTGCAGTACATGTGTGTGTCTGTGTGCAGGCATGTGTGTAATTTATTTCTTTGTGCATGAATAAATGCTCCAAAGCTCAGCCGGAGGCTGTCACCCTAGCTTCCATTCCAGCTACCTGTTTCTATTGAGAAAAATGGGCAGCCTAGACTCCTGTGTTCTGCTTTCAGCTCTGCCAGAATTCCTTTTGCAATTCTGGGACCCTTGCTCGTTTGTGAAATTAGAGCAATCTCCCAATATTTACTTAGGTGTTTCACACAAAGCTGACAGTCCCCTAAAGCTGAAACTGCTCTATCATTCTCTCAATTCTTGCATTCTGGGTGCCCAAAATAGTGTCTGGCACACAACAGATCCTCAATAAACACCAAGCAAACGAATAACAGCTGGTGTGAGCCCATAAAATCATAATCTAGTGCATCAAGTTGATTCTGAGGCACAGAGAAAGCAACTCGGACTATTGGTCTTCTTATATTTTTTCTTCTCACTATTGAGACACTTTCATGAACATTTCTACCAAAACGTAAAAGGTATGTGCAACATGAGATGAACTGAGATTCTCCAAATTTTCTCTAGCAGTCTGGGATCTGGCCTGGATGAGGAAGAATGTCAGTGACCTGCTGGCTCTATTTGCATAGGGTGTGCCTGCCAGCCACTCCCGTTCCTGATGGAGGCTGTCCCCCAAACCTCTATCCTTCAGCTCCCTTTGATATGGTTAAGTTTAAGACAGGTCACAAGTCAACAATGCCTGGGTGTCCCAAGGGAAATGGCCAAGTAAGACATCCTGGTTTCTTGGTTTTCACATCAGGATTCCTGGTTGTTGACAAACATAGTGTGGCCAATGGAACAGAAGAACTGTTGACCGTAAGGATTCCAGATCTTGTGAAGGAAGTTAGGCTATCACCACTAGCGCCTTTGAATACAACCTGCCTTTGCATAGCCACTGCCATGACTGCCAGGTATGACTGCCTTTGGAGAGTCACTCACTAGCATGAAGTTGTCCCTTTGTTTTTGTACCACCTGATCAATAGAATTCTATACAAGACATTGTGATTAATCAAGTTGGGTCACATATCCAAGCTGCTTTTTTATTGGAAAATAGTTCTTTGTGTGTTTGTTTTAAAGGTGCACACACATAGATCACTCTTCTACTGATTCATTCTCCAAATGTTCGCATCAGCCAGGATTGGGCCAGGCTAAATCCAAGAGCCAGGACTCAACTCAGGTCTGCTATGTGGGAAAATGAGCCCAAGACCTTCAGCCAACACCTGCTGTCTCCCAAGGTATGTATTCATGGAAAACTAGAATCAAGAGCAAAGCCAGGACTCAAACCCAGGCCATCCCAAGCATTGTCTAAACTGCTGGGCCAAACTGCCACCTCCTCCTTTATACTTCAGAGTCCAAAGGGTCACACAGTAAGGGACTCCCCTAAATACCCAAGGGGTTTGCACACTAGTCAGCTGCAAAAAGAGCGGCTCTGTGCTTCAGTCCTAAAAATTTTATAAAGTTGAATGAGACCCAATCAGTCATAAATCCAGGGTCCTACATGAGACAAATTAGACTTCCTAATTGGAGACTGATGTATACAAGTTTGTCAAGAATTCTTGTTCTAAAGGCTGAAAAATAACAACAACAACAACAACAACAAAAATTAAAATGTAGTTTCCCCATGGAAAACTTTAGAAGTTGTAGTTGAACTCCACATACTTGGCATGTCACAAACCCTTAATCAACTTTCCGTTCCCCTCCCAAATCCTTCCATCCTCAAAGAACAAGGCAACTCCAGGATTTGCTCCTCCTTAGTTCAGTTATTACTGTGGGATTCCTCAGGGACAGAGCCAGCTCAGCCTCTGCAATGAGCCAGCCCGGCCTCTGGCTTCAGGGAAGCTGAGTAGATGAGAGAGGATCCCTGTTGGGAGGGAAAACTCTGCTTGCCCGAGAGTGGTGATCACCAAGGCAACACATAGCTGAGATCTGCAGAAGAGCTGCTCTGCCTGCAGGGACCGCAACAGTTCAAGTGAAGGTCCCTGCACAAGTTGTCCTCAACTACCATACAGCACCAGGGCACCTGTTATAAGGGACATGCAAAGTGGCCATTAATTGACTTCCAGGAACCTCATTGCACAGTTTTATGATACAGGAAAAACCAAAGTGCTTCTCCTGCTCTCATACAGTCAACTCAAACTTCTGACATTGAGCTGTGTGGGGACTGGTTATCACTGTACGCCAAGCAATTCTGCAGTGGAGGCCAGCAGAGGATCTTCTGAGTAGGCTCACTTCTGACACAATCTATCCGGAGGGAGACTCCCACAGCCTAGGGCTTCATCCCATCAGATGCCCCCACCTTGGATGACCATCATCACTAAGCTTCTGGCCAGCTGGCTGTGGATTGGCATCCATGCCCTACTTCACTGGGCTCACATTTGCTAGAGTTGCTCACAATCTGGTGGAAACCATATCCATGGACATGACAGAGACATCAATAAATAGCCTAATGGAACAGGTACTTCGGGAGAAGCATGGGCAAACAGGGCTTCCAAGTCCAAGCCCTCCAGCAATCATCATGCGTTATTTGGAAGCTCCCTGAATCCAGTGCTCTGGGACTTTCTTGGAGGTTTTATTACCTAGGCATTGCTGACTACATCATTGGCTACTGGGGATCAACTCACCCTTCAGTTCTCTTTCTTTTCCAGAGATTGAGGGTGGTGGAGGACACTGAAAATCCCACTCCTCTAATTCTGATTTGTTCTTTTCACCCTAGAGTTATGGAGGACAACAGCCATCTCATCAGCATAGAAAGGGCACTCATCATTTTGGAGAATCCAAGGGTTTTAGGAGTTCCATGTCAGTCAACAGGAAAGTACTGAATATAGATTTGACATTAGCACATACATATGTAATAGCACATAAGAATGTGAAGTCAAGGATAGTCACTAAAGCATCATTGGCAACCAAGACTTCATCAACCAATTGTTCAATATATGACGGTATTATCATTCTACAGGACATAATGCAACTACAGGGAATAAAAGGGTCATGCATTAGCAATAATATTACTAATAAATTGTAAGGCACACATGGGAAAACAGTGGGTACTGCATCCCCTTTGCTTTTTCAGGATTATATCAGTAGGTTTGTTCACAGGCAGAAAATGGTGGAAAGGAGCCCTAGGAAGCAATGCGGATTTTCACTTCATGTACTGTTTCTGTGACATATCTAGCCAGGGTCAAAGAGGTGGGGCCTATGGATAGTAAAAGCACAAGGCTAGACTTGACCAGGCTTGGCTGGCAGTCGTGTGATGAGAGCCATAATGTTGATGGGAATGATGGTTTGAAAAACCAGCAGAGCTTCTGTTGAGCTGATGTGACTCCGGAGTAGTGACCAGAGTATACCAACACCCCTGTTTTCCCCAGCTCCTGGGTAAGCAGGAAGCTTGCATGACAAGAAGTGGAAGTTGGGGTACGGGAGGTCAGGGAACAAAGTCCAGTTGGCCCCCAAAGCCAGGAGCTCTCCTTAGCTTCCCACTCACACGGGGGATTTCACCTGTGGAAATCCAGTTACACACAGCTGCAAGAGAGAGAGACTGGGGTACAGGAGCCTCAGCAATTCCTTTCTGCTAGGGGAGCTGGTGCCCCAGGGACCTTAAGTCACCATTTACCACCTGCCCAAATCTGCCAGATTGAGTGTTCCTCCCCCCTGGACCCTGTATTCTTTTAAGCGCCAAAGAGCTAATTCCTGTATGTTCAGCACAGGAAAAATGTGCACACACACAGAAACGCAGGACCATGAAAGAGTCCTAATACGGGTGGGGAGGTGTACCACACTAATGCTTTATCCTTCTGCTGCAGGCAAAGGCTCCATTTTCGGTCCAGCGGCCCATACTCACTGTCCTGGACAAAAGCAGCTGGAGGCAGGGCCAGGCTGTTCAGGCATGGGAGGCCATGACTGAAGTGAGCCGTGACCACTCATTCTGGGACCACGGCTTCAGGCCTAAGTCCTTTTCATCCTTTGCCCCCTCTCCGCTCAGAAGTGTAGCTGGTGCATCTTCGGGAGTGGGGGAGGGGGGAACTCACAGCTTCCATCCCGCCCAGGAAATCCAGTTGTCCAGCTCTCCCTAGTGCGGGGCCATTCGCAGAGCCCTGAAGTTGCCTGAGGGTCCCGCCACAGCTCTAGTCCTGCCCTGGCCCCCTATTTGTCCTGTGGATCAATGCGCAATGGTGTGGATGCAGATGCAGGGGAGACTAGGAATCCTGGCCTGAAACGTGGCTGCCCCAGTTTCTTCCCCGGAACCAAGGGTGGGTTCCAGGCCCCCAGGCCCGGGAGCGGCCGCGCCCCCGTCCTCCAGGAGCGTACCATCGCCGCGACGCGCCAACGCGGGGCCCCCGCGCGCTCGGCCGCGAAACTCGGACGCCCTGTGGTCTCGGTCCAGGGGACTCAGCTCGCGCTCTGGCCACTGGGCGCGGGGGGACCCGCGGCCGCACCCGCCTGGGTGGCCGCGCTGGGTAGGTAGCTGGGGGGACCGGAAGGATGGCGAGGAAGTTGGAGAGGGTTTCCTGAGATGAGAGATTACTTCCGTCCGGGCTCTGGCCTCTCCCCGGAGCTGGCTCGCTAGGGCTCGCGAGCGGGAGCGCCGGGGACTCGGCCGGTGCCTTGCCACCTGCAACGCCCGGGTGGGCCACGGGAGCCTCGGCGGGACGCGCTCGATCCGGCCGGAGGGGCTAACGCGCGGGGTTGGGGGGGAAATCTTTGCAGGTGGCAGCCGCGTGCGTGTCACCGCGCCCGAGCCATGGTGGCCAAACAGCGGATCCGGATGGCTAACGAGAAGCACAGCAAAAACATCACCCAGAGGGGGAACGTAGCCAAAACCTTGGTAAGGCGGGGGCGGCGCCGGCCGAGCCGCGCGGGCAGGACCAGGCGGAGCGGGGCGGGGCGGGGCCGGGCTGGTCCAACGCGGGGCCCTGGCCTCGCCTCCTGCTCTGGGAGACCGGCCCACAGGGCCTGTGGGGTCCTACCGAGGGGGATCCCCGAGCTAGGCCCTGCAGTAAGGAGGGTTGGGGTGCTTAGGGGGACAGGAACGCAGGGCCTTGGTTGGTTGTGACCTCTCTAGGAGTGGCTGCCGAGGGCCCTTGATGGTTTGGAGCAGCCTCCCCAGCAAAGAAGGGGACCCTACTCCCTGGGTGAAATGGAAAAAGCCACATCACATAGGGCCCAGTTAAATCAAGGAACGTGACACAGGGCCTGGAACCTTATGGATACTAACTTATTTGTGGAATGAATGATTGAATGAATGAAGGTTGCTTAAGCAATCTCTCCATCTTGGGACTGCACCCCTATCCTCCCTTCTCAACACACATACCACAGGTTTGTCAGCAGCCTATTGTGACGGCCCCCCTGCATCCTTCCAAAGGACTTGAAGTGGGGAACAAGAATGGGACCCCCATTTCTCTCCAGCCTCCCTTGTGCTTTTGCGGCTTTTTCCCTTGTGAGACCTTCGTTGGCTGCTGGGCTGACGTTTAAATGCAGTATTCCCTTCTTGGACCCTGTCGCAAATTCAGGCTCATTCTGATGGTGGCCTTGGAGAAAACATCTTACTGCCAGGCACTCTGTGCTCCCCCAAACTGCACCTGGAGATTGAAGTAGAGTCTATGGCTGGGCACAGGGGAAGTTCTTACAGCAAGGCAGGTGCCCCCCCCCCCCCCCCCCCCCGCACGTCCCTGAAAAGGCCAGATCTCTGATGTTGGGCGTTCAGGGGCCTGAGTCAGATAGCCTGCTGGGTAGAGCTGGTCTCCAAGCCTATGAGCAAAGGCTCCCGGAGTCTGTACAGCTCAGTGGAAGTCCAGCTGAAGCTTGGAGTTTGGCTGCATAGTCTCGGAGATTAGATGAGGCAATTTCTTGTCGTCAAAGATATGGTACTGTTTTGATTAGCTGAGCCAAAAACTGGGTCTATAATCACACGTGGGAGTTCCTGCTCTTACAAACTGTGGCCCAGGAGCCTTGGGTTTAGAGCTTCATATGCAACTTAACTTTCTTTCACCTGGGCAGTGGATCCTTTAGTTGTGATTAGGGAACTCAAAAGTTAACGTGCCATTGATCTGGAGTTATCTTTTTCCATACAGATCTATGTTTTCCTCATGTTCACTCAGGAAAAAAAAAATGCCATATTGATATCGGAAAGCAATTTTTCATTGACATGAAAGTAGACAGAATTTTATAAACCTTGGAGATGAATTATTCTTTTTTTGTAAGACATTTATTTTTATTGGAGGGACAGATTTACAGAGAAAAGGAGAGAGAAAGATCTTTCATCCACCAGTTCTCTCCTCAAATGGCCGCAATAGCCAGAGCTGAGCCAATCTGAAGCCAGGAGCCACCTCTGGGTCTCCTATAGGAACCTCCTCCTGGTCTTCCACACCGATAAAGGGTCCCAAGGCTTTGGACCGTCCTCTACTGCTTTCCTAGGCCACAGGCAGGGAGCTGGGTGGGAAGTAGAACAACCAGAATCAGCACCCATATGGATTGCTGGGGGAGCAAGGTGGAGGATTAGCTAGTTGAACTATCCTGTCAGCCCCAGAGATCAATTCATCTTTGTTAAGCTATCAGACCTACTAGCTGAAGCCTTATTTGTGTGTGGTTCTTTTTCATTGATCGAAGAATTGGAGTTCTGTTGTTCACTGGTTTCAGTTGAAGACCAACTCAAATCATGGAACTGATTTGCAGGGCTGTTTTATCCATCTGGCTCTGTACTCAGTGTCTGCCACATCTCACTTTGCAAGACCATGAGATTGCGCTTGGAACCTAAAACAGACATTAGTGGCTATAAAACAAGAAAAGAAAATGGAAAAATTAGGAAAACATTATTTAAATATTGAGAAAATGTAATCACCTGCAATTCAAGGCAACCCAACTTTCAGAGATATGACAAAATTATATTTAATATGTAGTATGAGTGCATTTTAAAAGGCTCTGATATACAGTTGGGTGGGTCCTGAGAGAGTGCCTGGCGCCTTTGAGGGCTTTTTAATGGCCCAACTAAATTTGTAATGAAAGGTTTCCAAACCAAGCCCCAATCAGTTTTCATTTTCAGTTGGTTGGAGAGCCTTTCAGTTAACTTTATTGTAGGTGGATCAACATCCAAAACTGAAAGTGAAATTCTCTTTCAAAAAGGAACTCTTTAAATCCTATTTCATTTTTACCAGTTACAAGTCAAAGATGAATATGTGTTTGACAAAAGTCACTTGCAAGGCAGCTTCTTCAGGATGAAGTTGAGTAAATGGGACCATATGTATACACTCTAACTGAAAATTCAGATTCCTTATTTAGAAATCAACTTCTGCTTTAATTGTGTGCAGATGCTTCAGTATTTCATTATTAGCTAGTAGCCACAGGGTAAATCAGTATCATTCTCCCAGACAGCAAATTAATCCAAGAAGCAGAACTGGAATAATTATTATGTAATTAACGGTAACTTCTTCAGAATGGAGAACTGGAATTTCCAACTTCTGAGTTCCCCAACTGTTACCGTATCACAGGGAACACTATTCCCTGACATTTTGGAACTTTAGATAGGAGCAAACTCATGTTTGCAGTGAGCTATGACATTCATCAAATTGCTACTGTGTTCCCCACCATTTTTAGCAATAGAGTTGGGCTTGTATGAATCATCCCAATGGGATTGCACATGTTCCAAGTCAATAGGAAGCCAAAGTTCTCAGTAAATGACATATTGGCATTATGATTAACCAAGGGTTTCTGGCCTCCAAGAGCCGCCAAGTCACATTGATTCACTGGAGAATGTCATCAAAAAAGATAAAAAAGATCTTCATGTCACACACTCCAGCATGTGTTTTCCTACAGACGAGAGGTAAAGTACTTCATTTGGATTTTTACTAGACCCACAATCCATTTACAGGCTCTTGAATTCACTTGTTGGCTTTGCTCGAAAGAGAGCAGAAATGAAAAATTTTTTTTTTAATGTAGCATTAGTGGAATAGTGACAACAGAATGGGTTACTGTAACTATGACAACTTGTTAGGAAGCTGGTGGAAGAGGAGGGAAAAAGGACATGACACACCCTGTTTAGGTATCTTATTTCATAGCTCTGTTATTTGCATAATGTGAGCTCTACATGGTCTTAAATGCCCTGGAATGATCAAGGTCTCTTTTGCATTACTAAAGACTGATGTTTCCTCTGTCTGGTCAAGAGCAACTCCTGCCCCCTTGCAGTGTGACCTCCTGGCATAGAAGTGGTAGTAGATCACCAGTGAACAACTGAATCTTTAGTCAAAGTCCACCTGCCATTGACACATTATACCCCTGAAGTATGAGAAATATGCTCATAAACTACCACCTATTAGGAGGTGTTAATAAAAACACAGTATCCTTCCTGGACTCTGACCTTACCCAACTTAAGAAATCATATTTGATGAACCTTGTATTCTTACTTGTTATCCTGTGAACATTTGCTGAGCCTGAGGTAATGTTTTAAAAGTTCTGTGCTAGCATTGCACTGCAGTCATGCCTGGGAAAATTGAAACAGTGCCTCCTGCCCTTGAGGAGTCTACAGTCTAGTATTGAGGTAGGAATAAAATGTATGTCACAAGAATAGAGGCAAAAGCACAAAGTAATAAATGCTATGAAGAAGTTCATGGCCAAATGATAAGAAGTAAGCCAAGTTGGGCCCAGCATGTTAGCCTAGTGGCAGAAGTCCTAGCCTTGCACACCCAGGATTCTGTAAGGTCACTAGTTTGAATACTAGCTGCTCCACTCTCTATCCAGCTCCGTGCTTGTGGTCTAGCAAAGCAGCATAGGACAGCCCAAAACCTGCAAAGCCTTGGGATCCCGCACCCGAGTGGGACATCCAGAAGAAGCTCCTGGTACCTGGCTTCAGATCACCTCAGCTCTAGCCGTTGTGGTCACTTGAGGAGTGAACCTACAGATGGAAGATCTTTCTGTCTCTCTTTCTCTCTCTGTAAAATCTGACTTTCCAATAAAAATAAATAAATCTAAATCTAAAAAAAAAAAAAAAGTAAGCCAAGCAAGATCAGAGGAAAGGCTCCCTAGAGCAGTAATAGGTAAGCTAAGAACTAAGGAACTGCTACTTTGTCTATAGTAAAGTGAGTACTCTTTGATGAAGCCAAGCCTATTATTACATTCTAACATGAGTTTAGAATGTATGTTAAGCTTTTGTTTTGTTAATATATGACAGATTTTACAGGAAAATGCCTATAGTGAGAATCAAAGATTGTCCTTTTTTGGCTAGATGCTTTACTAAAAGTTTCTCAACATTTCAATTACATCCTTAATTACAGCGACCTTGACCCTCTGGCCATGGAAACATTACCTGCCTGGAGTGTAAATCTGTAGCTGTCACATTGGTACAGACACAAACACACTTTGTAGCCCGGACTTTACAATGCTGAATCTTAAACCATCAACAATGAGCCCAGGATGGTAGCCTAGCTGCTAAAAACCCTTGCCTTGCACACGCCAGTATCCCATATGGGCGCTGGCTCTAATCCCAGCAGCTCCACTTTCCATCCAGCTCTCTGCTTGTAGCCTGGGAAAGCTGTTGAGGACAGCCCAAAGCCTTGGAAACCTACACCTTTGTGGGAGACCCAGAAAAAGCTCCTGGCTCCTGGCTTTGGATGGTCTTAGGTCCAGCCACAACAGCCACTTGAGGAGTGAAACATCGAATGGAAGATCTTCCTCTCTGTCTCTCCTCCTCTTTGCATATCTGACTTTCCCATAAAAATAGGGCCCGGCGCGGTGGTGCAAGTGGTTAAGGTCCTCCCCTTGCATGCCCGGGATCCCATATGGGTGCCCGTTCTATCCCGGCAGCCCCGCTTCCCTTCCAGCTCCCTGCCTGTGGCCCTGGAAAGCAGTCGAGGACAGCCCAAAGCTTTGGGACCCTGCACCCGCATGGGAGACCCGGAAGAGTCTCCTGGCTTTGGATCGGCATAGCATGGGCAGTTGCGCTCACTTGAGGAGTGAATCATCGGACGGAAGATCTTCCTCTCTGTCTCTCCTCTCTGTATATCCACCTTTCCAGTAGAAAAATTTTTTAAAAATTAACAAATAAATCTTTTAAAAATCAACAAGATTTAAAAGAAATGGGAAAGTGGGTTTTATGATTTCAACCAAGAGGCAAGCCCCTGTGTCTACCCTGCCACATGTTTTTATGTTTGAGTTCTATCATTTATATTGAACACAGTCCATCGTTTGCTGAAGCTAATGAGGAAAAGTGAGCTTTTGTTGTTCAGCCTCCTACTCTCCCCTTCCAGAATATGTTTTCTGTGTCACTGGTAGGTAGCGGCTGCAGGCCCTGTATGCACATGGTCCTCTGTGTACCATGGGAAAGTGTTCTCATCAGTCTGCACTTTGGGTTTGAGAAGGGCACGAGACATGTGAGGCAAGGTTTTTGCAGGTGCAGCAGGCCCTTCTGCTGCCCCGAGAAGGCAGTGACTTCTCCAAAGCTGAGTTTAGCTAAAACTGGGAGCTTGATTATGTAATGCCTCATCCCTCACAACCACTCACAGTTGCTGTGGTACGTCTCATATCCCAGGGATTTCAACTGCTCTGACTGCCCAATTTTTTGTTTGTTTGTTTGCAAGACAGTATTAAAAAATTTGAACACTCATATCATGCTTGCAATTCAGGATGCAGAAATTAAAATGAATTAATTACATGGGAAACACTCAGATTCTGTATTAAGCTTGAATCTTCGTTCTGGCCCAAGTTAAAAAATTTTGAAACTCTGTCATCCTGACAAAATGGAAATAATAATATTTGCCTTCCAGGGACTGTGTGTGCTGGAAATAACTGGTACAGACCACCTAGCACGGTGCCTAGCATAGAGTTTGGTTGCCACAGATGGAAGCAGTTGTTGTTAGGGTCATTTTCTCTCCCAGATCACTGTATTGGGTTATGGATTTATACTCAATCTGCCCCCAAACTATAAAAGGTTTTTAAAAACTTCATGGAAAATATATATATTGAATTTTTGAAGTTTTGATGCCAGAGCAAATTCTTTTAGATTTTCTTAAAAAAAATTTATTTGAAAGAACAGTGAAAAGAGAAGGGAAGATACAATGAGAAAGAGAGAGGGTGAGAGAATTGATCCATTCACATCTCATTCCCCTTGTGATAGTCAGGGGTGAACCAGGCCAGATCTAACAGTCAGAAACTCCACCAGGGTCTCCTACATAGGTGGCAGGAACCCAACTACTTGAGCCCTCACCTGATGCTGCCTGCCTTTCCAGGTGCATTGGCAGGAGTCTGGAGCAGAAGCAGAGAGGGGAGGCTTGGTTTCAGGCATTGCCATGTGTGGCGCAGGTGCCCTAAGTAGTGTCTATAAATCACTGTGCTGGAACTCTCACCCCTTAAACATATCTTTTCATTCCATTTTCCACAGACTTTTTGGAGTTCCCGTGTGTGAAAGACAAAGGTCCCTGAGTTCTGGGGATGATAATCAGGTCATTGTTATAAACCAGTTCCAAAGTCAATCTCATATTTTTTCATCTTTGCCCGCTGAGGTATAAGACTGAGTCCATCTCATTCACAGAGTGCCTAGTACTTAGCACAAGCTTGGAAATAGTCAGGAACCCCTTAAGACATCAGTGACCCTAATCTCACTTTTTCTCTTTTCCCCTTTTTCTTTTAGAGGCCGCAAGAGGAGAAATACCCCGTGGGACCATGGCTGTTAGCACTGTTTGTTTTTGTGGTCTGTGGCTCAGGTACGGGTGTTTCACTGAATTTCCAATCACTGTCCTGAACAAGTCACATATTTAATTCACAAAGTAAATACTAGAGCATATTGGACCAGATTCAAATTAATTACCACCTTAAACCTGAATCTTAGTAATTTTGATTTCTGTTCCTAATTAAGGGAAAGACAGAAGTAATATCTTCTCAAGTCATAATCACAGAGTGATTTTTGTGGGAAAACTATGCTGTGAAACAGCAGGCTAAAAAGAGCATTTAGAACAGAAAGTGCAGCTCCTGTCTGCCAGTAATAAAATCCAGAGAGAAGGAGAGGCCTTATGTCTTATGAGAGAGTTCTGCAGAGCTGAGTCTTTGACCTTATGATGTGGGTGCCTTGAACCTACAAAGTGGCAAGTTGAGAGCACTGTACAAACTCACAAATGTGCACCTGCACAGATGGGGTGGGTGGAGGTGGGGAGGTGCTGGCGGACAGCCCCCTGCAGTTGTTTTTCAGTGCTGTTGTTGGCAGCCTTGGCATGGTTGCTGGTCTCCATACATTGTCATGAAGGGTATATTGATGCAATATTTCTACCACTACCTACGGACTTAACTGTGATACATTGCCTCAGCTGTTGTCATGGAATTCCACCGACAAACAAAACAGACAAAACTAAGCCTTTAGTGTGTTACAGGAAACTATTAAAAATCAACTTATATGAAAAAGCTTATCTGTGTTTATAGGCATATAACCGGTCCATAAATTGTTCAGTTCTGAACCTTGAGCTAATTATCTTTGTTTCCAAGCCTTTCAGTCTGTGAAAATATATTATACTTCCAAGTCACTGAGTAAAGTCTAGACCTAGAGAAGTCCATGGAACACCGAGACAGCCTGCCGACTTTAGGTTAACTTTGAAGACTTAAGCAAGCTTGCTCAGATAACTGTCATGATATGAGGGTCCCAGTGTGCCTGGCACTGTGCCAGGCTTTGAAATGATACCTCTCTGGGAGTTTGCAGGCATTGGGAAAGGCAGATAAAGAGGTTATCAGCTTGTAGCCCAGGAAAGGCCACTGTGAGAGTAACTGCGTGGTATGCACAGTGCTTGGCAAGTGTGGATAAGGCATTTCCAATCATGTTGGGCAAAAGGGTAAGTCTCTAAGAGTAGGCGCTGTTTGCACTGAGTTTTGAAGAACAGACAAAAAGAGGATGAACAAGGTGACTGCATGAGGGACATGACGTGGCAGTGGCCCAAGGCTTCAGACCACAGGTTGGGTCCCAGAATCCCAGATATTCAGAATGACCAAGGACTGAACACAGGGCAGACAGGAACTGTAGCCTTCCCCAGCTTGCTCCTTCAAATAATATAGAAGGGGGCAAGGCCAGAAGAGCTGTTTGATTTGGCCTGTTTGAACTTCATCCTAGTTCTCAAAACCATCTTTTCCTTTTGGAAGAAACCTCTCATGAATTTTTTAAGGCCTACAGTTTTTCCCCAGGCCTATTGGTCCGTACAGCAGGGACTTAACCTTTCCCTCTTGAGCCATTTGGCACATTTGCTACCAGCCATCCTCTAAAATTCTCAGGTTCTGGCATTTTCTCCAAGCTCAAGTATACTGGCTCTGTGAGCCACTCTGGCTCGCTCACTTTCTCTCTCTCTCTCTCTCTCTCTCTTTCTCTTTCTCCCTCCCTCTCTCTCTCTGAATTCATCCTTGGCCCTGGGACTTTGCAGGTCTGTGGCTATGCCACTTCCTGCTATGCCTCTCCTCTCCTTAGTTCCTAGTGCTCCCATAAGGAAGCTTCTGAAAGTCTTTCTAGTTACAAGACCATTTTGCTTTTATTGGGAAACTAAATAAAAAATGGAAACTGAGTTGTCTTGTTTCACTCTTCTTTGTTAATGTGTTACCATGACCCCTAATTAAGGGGCCTCATCCCTTTTTCTAATTATAACCGGAAATAATCCACTACCATCTCTCTCTTTTTTTTTTATGTCAACTTTAGCAAACTTTTGCAAGCCTCAGCTTGCAGGCTGTATTCTTGCAGAAATGTGTCAGCCATTTCAGGTTGTCCTTGGGACCGTGTCCTTCTATCTTTGTGCATGTCCTTTTCTAAACCGAACATGTCATGAAAAACACAATGGCTCCTTTAGATCCGTCTCCATCACCACCTGTCTGAGGTTAGTCACACTTCATTGCATCTTACAGAGCTTCCACTCTTCACAGGGTCAAGGGCCAGAGCTCCTACCCATCTTTTCAGCATAGTTAAAAGAAAGTTTCCTCAGGTCTCACCTAGATTCTCTGCTTAAGGCAAAACGCCCTCTTGTAGACACCAGATTGTCTACATCTGTGCCCAATGTTGGAGTCCAAGACTGGAAAGATCCCTTCCCATTGACACTCAACTGGGCAATGTACACACTCAGAACTTAGCCTTGCCCTTGCGCGTTACCCTCATGCAGATGCACGCAAGTTCTAAGGCAACCATTTCTCCCCATTCCTTTCTATGAGCTCTCTCTCCTTTGAGCAAGTTTTGTCCTTGTGCCAGGCTCAAGTTTCCTTTCTCTGAGTTTCAATTAACTTGAATATCATCTTTCCTTCTTTGCCTTCCTATAACTAGTTACTATTCTCAAATGCCTTTTAATAATTTATTTATTTGAAAGGCAGAGCAATAGAGGAGAGATAGATTGAGAGAGAGAGAGAAAGAAATCTTTCATCTGCTGGTTCACTTCCAGTTGATTGCAATAGCCAGGTCTGTCTCAGCCAAGCCTCATCCAAGGAGCCAGGGACTCCAGCTAGGTCTCCCATGTGGATGAGAGGAGCCCAAGCAGTGAAGCATCTTCCACCACCTTCCTAGGCACATTAGGGGGAAGCTGTGCTCTGATGAGGCATGCAAGGGTCACAAGTGGTGGCTTAACCTATTGCACCATAACAGCCTGGTTACACAATACACAGCAAGTGTATATTTGTACATAAATGCTAAGGAAAAGACTAAAATAGTCTCATATGAGTGAAAATTTTGATCACTGATCAGAAACTCTTGCGAACTTTCACTTGCTTTGTCTTACCTTACTCTATGATCCTACCATTCTAATTGATGATGAGTTGGGTGAAGTTCTCTTTTTAAAAATAGTGCCAGTGCACCTGGGGTAAATACATATTTGGGTCAGGCAAGGAGCAGGGAACATACATCTTGTCTGATTCTTCTAGCTGTATTCTGGCAAAGAATTAGGATTGGTAAAAGTTGGAGCTTAAGTGTACGCTCCCTAAAGAGTCACCTTTACTCTGAAGTATGTGGAGAAAGAAATTAAGCTGCGAAAAGATGACAGTCATGTGTTGCCACTCCCTCTCCAGCCTGGCCTCTCCCACTGCAGCCTTCTTGCTCCCTGGACATTCCTTGCATGCCTGTGGTGCTGACAAAAGCCAGATAAGGGAAGGAAGGAAAACAGTGACAGTATGGACAGTATGGAGGGGATGGACCAGGCACCCAGGGACCCCTGATACAAATACCCTGCAAATCCTTTCCTCCCGCTGGGAAATCAGATGAAATCACAGACCTCCTGGAGCTGCCTTAGGGTCCCCAAGTCTGAGTCCAGCCTGGCCCTGCTTTTACTTCTTGCTTGGATACATGACTGTAACTTCTACAACATTCCTGGGGTGAGGGAGAGTTGGGGAAATTATCTAAATACACCCCTTTCCAAGTAAGTAAATTTACACTTTCCATGATTGCGAAAGGTGTCTTAGGCAAGCACACTCTGTAAACAGACTGATTGGCAGTGAGGGGGTAAGAGGCCTCCAAAGGAAGGGAAGCTTCTGGAATCTATCAGATGGGTCTTCAGAGCCTCCATTTGCTGTTTTTCAGTTGCTTAACCTTGAGCAAGTGATGTACTCTCCCTCTATTGATTTCCTCCTTAAGGAACTAGAGCTAGTAAGAAGCCCTCCAAGGGCTGGCCTGACATGGAATGTTCTGAAAACAAAAGCGTTGGTTCAGATAAAGCTCTAAGGTGCAGCTCCACCAGCCCCCACCTCAGCCCCCTAGCCCTTGTGGGAAGGGACAGCACCATGGAACTGTCAATCATGCGCAGGAGGCTGATCCTGCCATGCACCTGTCCGTCTTCCCAAGCTGCATATTTCAGGTCCCCGCATTGGCTTTATCTATTGGAGACTCACAGGCCCCGTTTCAGTGCTCTGAGTGGGAGCAGTGGTCCGTGATGACACTCCAGGGCGTGAGACCGCTCTCCCCTGTGATAAAGCCTCAACATCTCACCCGCCCAGAAGAAGGAGGGGCTGCCATGCAGCTGAATCTGAAATAAACGTGACTGACAGTTCCTTGATACAACCCTTACATGTGGCTGCTCGGCTGTAGGCGTTTTTCTTTGTGAGCTAATCAAAGCTAGGAGAGCAGTGTGTTCTTGGGGGACATGGAATTGGCCAATGAGGATATCTCAAGCCCTGCCCCTCTCTTGTTTTGTTACTTTTTGTTTCATTAGTTGTTGTTACTATTCTGTTGGTGTTTCTGACACCTGTTTCTCAGTCAGAGCCCTCCATCAAATCCCCTGGGGTTTAATATCCCACCTAGGCCAGACACTATCAGGTTCAAGTCTTGACTAGGAAGTTCGTTCCACTTGAGCCCTTTGGATGGGCTGGATTTGTCCCTGCTCCATCTCCCAGAATCCAGTTCCACATTGAATTCCACAAGGAACTCAAGTGTCCTTGTCAAAGAATTTGTCCTTTCTCTCATAGATTCATAAAAGCTTTTACTACCATCTCTGCAGGCAGTGGGGCTTCTTTCCAGATAAGCAGCTCATCCGGGTTCCCTCCCTGTCCCCAGTGTCAAGCCCTGCCCGTGTTCTGGAGAGTGCTTGGTTTTTATCTCCAGACTTGGAGACAGTGTGACCCAGAATGTCCATCTAGGCTGCTATCTGCAAAGACGCTGTCAAGCAGAGACATCAGCTGCTATCTGTATGAGACACACGTGGGTCGACGCACTTACCCACACCACTTTGGAACCTGAGCATTTTTATGTTTGCCTGGGCCTTACCCTTGG